GTGTGTGTTTCAGCTGATCCTACAGTTTTCTTTTTTTTTTTCTCCTGGTATTCTCTTTCTCACAGTTTCCCTGATGTGATGATGCCAGCGTACTCCAAGAACCGCTGGTCCTGTGTCTTCTTCATTGTTTACCTCTCCATAGAGCTCTACTTCATCATGAACCTGGTACAAATAACCTTCTTCTAACACTTCAACACTCTCAAATGTCCAGCCTGATGCATCTGTGCAATAGCAGCAACTGTCTGTACCAACTTTTATATGACTCCTGTTGAAAATAGCATGGCATCTAATTAGTCCTTTTTATATGATTTCTCATCAGCCTCACTACACTGTCATTATCTCCTTCCCTCTTCAGCTCCTGGCAGTTGTGTTTGATACATTTAATGATGTCGAGAAGATGAAATTTAAATCTCTTCTGCTACACAAACGCTCTGCTATCGACCATGCCTTCCAGCTGTTAGTTAGCCGACAGGTATGACCTCACTGCTCCATATAGTGTAATGCACTGTATATTTGGTACAAAGGATTTATCTGCTTTATTTTACAAAGCACTCACAGCCTCTGTGTTTGGTGTCACTGCTGTTTGCTCTCCAGAGGCCGATGGGCGTGTCGCTGAAACAGTTTGACGGTCTGATGCATTTTTACCGACCACGCATGTCTGCGAGAGACCGCTTCCTCACCTATAAAGCTCTTAACACCTCAGGGGCTCCTATGCTCAGGTAACGGCCTGACACACTTTTTTTTTTTCACTCAGAATCCTTCTGCATTTAATATCACTGTTACATTTTCATGTCTGCTCTGCTACAGTCTACAGGACTTTTATAAGTTCTATGAGGTCACTGGCCTTAAATGGAAGGTAAGTAGCCTTACACTTGTACTGTGTGGTTATAATTTACTCTTTCTTGTGTCCTTTGTGCTGTGTTTTAAATATGTACCGTATATATGCGTGTTGTTTAGGCACGACGCAGTGGAGAACATTGGTTTGATGACCTTCCACACACGACCTTCCTCATTTTCAAAGGCAAGCTGTTTTTCCTCTTTTGGTTATTAGACTAAACAAATCTGTCTCAGTTCTTTATTGTCAGTACTTTCATTCTTTACTTTAATAGGGATCAACCTGCTGGTGAAGTCTAAAGCCTTCCAATATGCCATGTGTAAGTGTAATCATTTGCATTTCCCAGCTATCCTCAAAGATATTGAGGCAAAGTCTCTCATCATAAACTTTTTAATCTCTTCTCGTGACTGCAGATGTGGTGGTGGCCATCAATGGTGTGTGGATCCTAGTGGAGACGTACACACTGAATAGTAAGCTCTCGCTCGACAACATGAACACACTGAGGGAATATGTGTTTGAGATCCAGATATCTCACCTTTCTCTCCTCTTCCAGGTGGATTTTCCTGGTCCAGATTTGTTCCCTGGAGTTACATTGTTTTCCTGACCAGTGAGTAGGACACATGCTGTCTCCCACTCACATAGAAACTCATAACAGTGTTCATATGCTGTAAAGCTGTTCATAGATAGATGTTTACATACACTTACACTAATATTAACTCTCTCTCTGTCCTTCCACTTTTAGTTTATGGTGTAGAAGTGTTATTGAAAATAACAGGTTTGGGGCCAATGGCTTATTTCAGCTCTGGGTGGAATCTGTGAGTAATAACGTTTTTTTTATTTTTTTTTTTATTAAAACCTAAATTATGGCTAAAAGTGATTTGAACATGTACCAAACACCGGTTCTGTATTTTAAGTGATATTCCTTACTTTGCTCGTCTCTCCAGGTTTGACTTCTCAGTAACAGTGTTTGCCTTCCTGGGCCTGATTGCACTTGCCTTCGATATGGAGCCATTTTACTTTATTGTAGTGCTCAGACCACTTCAGCTACTCCGGTGTGCTTTCATTTCTACTTTTAAAATTGCAGCAATTTAAACAACAACAATTTAAATAAGGCAATGTTTATATTTCCTATTTTCTTTTTCATTTAAACTTTCATGTGTCGTCTCTGACAGGTTGTTTAAGATAAAGCAGAGGTATCGTAACGTCTTGGATACCATGTTTGAGCTCTTCCCCAGGATGGCAAGTCTGGGGTTGACTCTAATCATCTTCTATTACTCCTTTGCAATTGTGGGAATGGAGTTCTTTGCAGATGTGGTTTACCCCAACTGCTGCAAGTGAGTCTTTCCTTATTCTTAGTATTGGGATCTCAGTATCTGGTCTCCTGCATTCTCCTATAAATAAATATATAAATTATATTCACTTTTATTCACTTCTTGTCACTCCATGCATTTGTTTTTTTCTCAGCACCAGCACAGTCGCAGACTCCTACAGACAGATCAACGTCACATATGGCAATAAAACAGTGTTGGAAGAAGGCTACTATTATCTCAATAACTTCAACAACATCCTCAGCAGCTTTGGTAAATAATCTCATATAGGAGTAGGATACTACTACAAATCTCATGAAAAGACCAAGACAAAATATGTGTCTCCCCCAGTTTATCTGTGGCTTGCTCGCAAGCACATTCATTCCTACTGAGAACATAAGTTCATGAATATATAATTAATTTTTTTAAAAACCTGAATAATTCCCTAAAACAGCTGGGCACTGCAGTTTTTAGAAAATGTTGCTTAAACACGAATAAATACTGCATTTCTTGGGGACTATTCTTAGCTGTGGAGTTGTAGCAGTAGTGAGTATTTATGGCAGCAGGGCAGTGTATGTGGGATTGACTCTATATAAACTACAGTTGCCGCATTTATGCTAATGAAGGAATATGTCGCCTAGTGGATCAGTGTGACTTTACACATCTGTCCTTTATAGTTTTTGAACAACAGTGGAGATATAATATATGGAACAGAAGAATAAACTATATCATGCATTAGCTACACAGACAAAACTTGTTACTAGGATTGATTTTTTTTGCTATTGGTCATGAGATTGTCTTGGGATTTGTTGATGTGAAGGTGGTGCTTACAAGCTTTTTTGTCTCCAGGTCTGTAAATTTTCCTGTTTTTTTTTTTTTTTTTTGTGTGTGTTTTTTTTTATGTGTGCATTAATTTCTTGTTTTGTTTTCCCTCCAGTGACTCTGTTTGAACTGACTGTGGTCAATAACTGGTACATCACCATGGTAAGATCAAGTCATTTGTGCTCTTATCAATTTCCACTCTGCAGCGTTGTCATTGATCAGTAGGTGTCACTGTTTGACTGCTGCTGTGTTCACTCTGCCACAGGAAGGAGTGACCTCTATGACAAGCCACTGGAGCCGTCTGTACTTCATGACCTTTTACATAGTTACCATGGTGAGGCCTGCGTGGTCGTATGAGCGTCTTTTTCTGTGCGTGGGAATGTGTCCGTTGATGTGTGTGATATTTTGTCTCTGCCTTCTCCAGGTGGTGATGACCATCATTGTGGCGTTCATTCTGGATGCGTTTGTGTTCCGCATGAACTACAGCCGCAAGAACCGGGAACCACTAGAGAACCCAGAGGGTGGGACCGAGTGTGTGTTTGTGTGTGTGTGTGTGTGTGTGTGTGTGTGTGTGTGTGTGTGTGTGTGGATATTGTGTATACATTTTACAGATTCTGTAGCACTTAAGAACAACCTACATGTACTTTTGAATATTTGTTCTATTTCAACAGATAATCAGATAAAATGCTTTGATTTGATATTACATATCTGCGAGTATTGTGTGGAAGGTCGAGTATGAATTGGAGATCGGTGAGTCATTTTAATTTCTGTGTGTGTAGATGAGAACGGAATCGTGTTTGAAGTAGAGGTGAGTCGAGATGAAGCTCTGGCCACTCTAGAGCTGTACAAACAGACATGTCCAGGACAGTCATCCCTCAGCTCTCTACAGGGAGTCCTACAAGCTATGGACAGGAGTGGGGTAAGAACACACACACATAATAACACATAATAAACTCCTTTTACTCTGATCTTCACATGAAGTCCCACTAACTAGCTTTCCCTCCTGCTTTGACGTGTACAGCACTCGTCTCTGGTGTACCTAGGTCGCAGGTCTAGGACGAAGAGTGACCTCAGCATGAAAATGTATGAGGAAGAGATGCAGGTAGGAAACTGAAGAAATAATCCTGAATACCATGACAGCAGTTAGTTGGTCTTTCCTGACCTCCTGACCTTTTCTACATCCTGTTTCTCCAGGAGTGGTATGCAGAGTATTCAAGGGAAAACCTGCCTCAACCAGACCAAAGCCTGGAGCGGAATCTGGACAGTCCTGTCTCTGACCCGTCTCCCTTCCCAGAGCCACAGCTCAACTCACAGACTGGACCTCACAGCATCAACTAACGCAGTTTGCAAGCGGTACATACACACCACCATCTCAGCGTTTTATTAATGCTAAGAAACCCCATCACTCCAGGTCTTTTCCAGTTGCCCCACACTCACTGTTTGCAACAGTGAGAAACTTGCCTGGGGTCTTTCGGACTGATGTGAGAGGGAGATGAGTGAATGTCACTGCAGACAGGAAGACAGCAGTGCAGGTCTATTGCTCTGAAGGGAGCGTTGAGCGTTGCCCCTTTTTTCTGGCCTTTTCAAAGACTGCAGCAAATGTTATGAGGGAGCCTGTACTACCACAGTATGTTGTGTACGTGTACTGCTGTAGGCCTTTTGTGAATTCTAGTAAATCATGTAGTACTTAAACCTGATGCCTTAGTTTAATGGCTCATCCGATCAGTATTAACACAGACACTACTAAGCTGTCCTAAGACCAAAAGTATAAAGACTTACACTCCTTTTAGCTCAAAACAATTACAGTGTATCTCCTAACTAATGTCTCAATGGACTCAAAGTGTTTTACTTTTATATAACTTCTTATTCTGTAATGTATTGGAGTTAGTTAATAAGGGATTTTAATAAACTGTTCGAATTGTCAAGTGCATTGATGTATTTTTGCTGTTCTGTAATACTGCTGGTAACTGCTTATTTACTTACAATGTATCATTTAACAGAGAAAGCAAAGCATTATTACGACCTGTAAATACAAATACCAAACCAAAAGTATTTAATTCTCCAAAAGCAGCTTTGTACGAGGTCATTTTAACAATTTGATTTACAGTACATTTGGTTCATTCACAATGTTTTGAAGTACAAATTTCTACAATCTGTGTTTTCCCTATAGACTCAAAAAGTACCATCTCAGCTCCAGTCAGCACAAACAAGAAGCTGAATAAAGGCACAGTGTTATTAGTTTCAGCTCTCCCTGAGCAGAAAACTGTAGTTTGTCATTAATTTGCCCGCGTGGTTCCACAAACCATCTACAGCATGGCTCTGGGTGGCAGACAGGTGTACTGTTGATTCTTTTATAAATAGTGCACCAGTATTGTGTGAAGGAGAAGTTTTCATTTGTCTGCACTGAGTACAGTCTCTGTTCCAGTGTTTTCATTTTGCATTACAGGAGGACGGCCCTCGTTTCAGACTGGCCTCAGTGTCAAGTCTATACAATGCGGATCTCACCAAACTCTGTGAGCAGTGCAATGAGAAGGAAGATGGCGTAGAAGACAAGCAGGAAGATCCCGTAGGTTCGACCCAAGTGGAACTGGCACAGTGGAACAATGATAAAGGACAGGACCAGAGACAAACCCAGAGATCCTGCAAGAATCCACGTCAACAAACCCTCTGGCTCAAACTGAGGAGGCGAAAGAGACGAAGATGCATCATGTTCATGGGTTCAAAAACAAGTCTTGTGTAACTGTTTTTTTTTCTCTGCACATTTGACCAGAACTCCTCCTCCTTGTGTGTTTAATGAGATTATTACCTGCACATCAGAGTGTGTTTGAACCATCTGCATCAGACATCCCAAACCCACTCCAAACAGCATGTCTGAAAGAAATATAGTCAAGGATGCGGTTGACAGTCCCTGTTTTACATTATGTTTTTATACTGATACACATGCTCTCGTGAAAATAAGGATACTGAAAATGATGCCTCCAAAGCAGGCAGATATGGCCATCCGTGGATAACCCTGCCGGGCGATGGTGATGTCGGAGAAACAGTCTGAAGACAAGAGATGCATACAGATCATGTGTTATAGATTTTAAGTACATGCAAATACAAAACAACATCTGTCGATGTTTTGGATAAAAGAGCTGGGTTCACAAATATCACCTCCTATGCTGTTGCCCCAGGCCAACAGAGTCAGCCCCAGCACAGTGTTGCTGAGACTAAGCACCACACCGAGCATGTGCAGAAGACTGACCACTTCAGATGCTGCTGTACTGATCAACACTGCACTCACCACAAAGCCCAAAAGAGCAAACAGCTGGGGAGAGGAAAAACAAGACAAAATTAGAATCACATGCAAACGTGGTACAAAACACGTTTCCCCATCACAACATGAAAAAAAACACTACATAAATCCAGTCTGGTTAAAAAAAGTAGTTTTAGGAAAAGTGATTCTAATTATGGATGAATTATGATGAATATATACAGTATATATTTTTGGCCATGCTAGCTGAGGATGGCTGTGTCATCGAGATAACTGCTGGATGGATTACACAACAACAGTTTACAGACATTCATGGTCCCCAGAGGATGAATCCTACTCCCTGTAATGATCACATAGCAGCATCATTATATAAAAATTTATGACCCAATACCTGCAAAGCTAATGACATTCCCATCATGCTAACATGCTAAACACTGCTGCGTATTTGGGACGAAATCTGTTCATTTGTAATATCCACAGTACTTACTGGATGATATTTGGGAGGGCAGTCATTGGTGGTGGTGCAGAAGACAATAGCAGACAGAAAAAGTCCCAGCAGCAGAGTCAGCAGCCAGATTGGAAATTCCCCTTGGATCATGTGATGTCCATCTAAACATTAGTTAAGAGAAAAGGAGGATATTGCAGGGTAATGATTTAACCATATATTTCATCTCATTATGGCTGCAACTGTTTGTCTTGACAGGTAATGCACTTACATATTCCAGACTGGAAGGTGAGCACACACACCAGTGGAGCAGTGATCAGATGGAGGCAGTTTAGTGGGCGTCTCCAGTTCTTATCTTCTTTATCGGGGTCGACTACAGGGATACAGAGCAGCAGCAGGACCTCTAGAGGTGTCTGATGAGTGTAGGACACAATTGCAAGAAAGAACAGTTTTAAATAGCTGTGACTTCCAGCCAGCTTCGTCTAGACACTAAGCTCTTTAGACACACACCTTCAGTACTTTAAGCACTCTCCACCTCCATGATTTCCTCCTCCACTTCCTGTTGTCCACCGGGTTCAGAGAGCTCAGCAGGATCTGACTTGTGGACTCAGAGTATGGCAGAAGTGGCCTGTACTCTGACTCTGAAACACCCACAAAAACATAAACCCACGTGCATGTCATAGTCCTGATCACGCAGAAAAATCCTGGTGTACATTATATTCACACAACGCTGCTGCATTCCTACCATACTCCTGCTGGATGGTCCCACCAGCAGTCAGGCAGGGAATGTCATCATCAGATGAGTCGGATGAATGAAACTCTGAAGCAAATAAAAAGATATATTTATATATATAATCCCTGGCAATTATGGAAACAGTTTTTGTCTGTGTGTACGTGTAAATGTGTATCTGACCTGGAATATGTGCAACATTCCGGACACTCGCGTTCATCGAATGTTTTTGCCGGTTGTAGATGCATGCACTGATAATAACGGTCAATACATACACCACATAGAGGCTCAGGTACCCTAGAAAAAAGGAAATGAAATGAAAAATTTAAAATAATGAGAGCTTGGAATAAAAATTGCACTTGAAACTTGATACAGTGGCTGTATAGGCAGAATATACAGTCTGCTGTATGTGTGTACAGACCTAAAAATGCATAGATGGTAATGACAATGAGCATGCAAAAACTGTCCTTACTCCACATATATTTTTTCTCTTTTTCAGTCTGACTTCTCTTTTGCCTAATTTATAAAAGTATAAAGCTAAAACCCAGGCACCTATAAAAATTTACAACTCTTTAGTCATAATATTATTAATCAATTATTAACAAAATATTATTATGAAACATTTCTAATTTGACTGATAAAATTCAATGTCTTATAGTCTACAGACTATAATGAATTTGTAAAAGACCCACATCAGCATTTCGAACTGGTTTACTCAAGTTTTCTCTACATAATATATAAGTAAAGTTATGTTACTGCAAATAAAAAATGCTGAATGTATTCACCAATGAACAGATGGACTCCCAACACATTTTTAGAGTTTCATAGTGGCTGCTGCCCTCTGTGTGCCACTCTGTGATTCACAGAAAAGTATGACTGGGTGATTCTTTGAACTGCATTCTGGGATTGTTTTCACTGAGAAAATAGCTGAGACTGCAGCCTGAGACTGTTGATGTTGGCACCAGAAAGAGACACAGAGACAAAGACACTCAAGAGACACACCACATGGAAAGGCTGCAAAAAAATTTTAAGTGGATAAAAGAGATTGTTTGTATTTTTGCTGAGCTCACAGTGACCTTTACCTTTGATATTTAACCACCAACATCTAATTAGTTCATCCTCAAGTCCAAGTGAACGTATGAGCCAAATTTGAAGGAATTCCCTCTAGGTTTTTCTGGGATATTGCATTCACAAGAATGGTAAGAACAAAGGGACAGAGGCACAGTTGGTGCTCCCTTCTGTTGTATGAGTGTGAGTGTGCACCCAGTGTGTACCCAGTGTTTCTCCCAGTGTGGTGGTTCCTCTGTACAGCATTAGGAAAGTCCAAAACACTGCAGCCATGTAGAAGATGACATCACGCAGAAATGGACGGGAGGCCACTGCAAAAGGCTTGACCAGCGCCACGCTGCCTGCAACTACTGTGGTAACAAATATACCAGCTCCTGAGGAGGGGAAGACAGAGAGAGAGCAGAGAAAGTCTAGCCAGATTTTCATATCAAAAAGCTTGATCTGTTTATTTATTTTGATATATATATATATGTGTGTGTGTGTGTGTGTGTGTGTGTGTGTGTGTGTGTGTGTGTCTACCAAATAGGGCTCCGACAGCAAGCCCAGCAGTGTGTGGGTGGGAGAAAGCTGCCATGGCACTGAAGATGTCTGGAGCTCCATTACCAAGAGCCAGAAATGTCACGCCCTCAGCACAAGTCAAAGAAAATATCACTCACTCACTGACATACGTCTCAGAGATAGAAAAAATGTCAGAAAATCATCACAAATGGATAAAGGATACAGCCACGTTGTGCGTGAGGTGCAGACTTGTGGAGATGGCCGACAGGTTGGGACAGAAACTGAGGAGAAATCGTGAAAAAACAATAAGTGAGTGTGATCCGGAGAAATGCAGAGGTTAACGAAGAACATCAAATATTCTTCCCCAGTTCAGGATACTTCAGATCAAACATACAACAGCTTCTTTACCATCCAGCTACTGTAGTGCACTAGTGTTTATTCAGTGTGTGAAGTGATGGTGAGTGGGTAGAAATGCAGAACAAACCAGGCTTCCTTTGAGGAAATCTCACAATCTTACAACAGTAAAAAACTGATTTAAAAAAAAAAAACTCTCTACAGTCATGTGACTCTTCTTCATGTGACTTAAGCTGACCGTGCTGAGGGTGTGTGTGTGTGTGTTCAGTCTGCACATGTGGGGCCTGTAAATGAGGCATTTTCAAATGAAACTAAGCAGTGAAAATAAATATTTTATGCAAACTGCTAGGGACTGCTCTGACACATAAAAGGGAACTTGTGGGGCACATATTCACACTGGCAACAATGTAAAATACTCACAACTTAGATGCTGTGAGTCCAAGTAAGACAAACAGAAAGAGCAGCCATATAATCTGTGGAGAAGCAGAAGACAGTGAGAGTCAGACGGATTCTTTTTTTCAGCTGTCGCACTCAGACAAACATTCCATCAACGAAAATTAGGTTGAATAAGGTGAGCCTGATAAACACGGCTTTATTTGGATACAATGATTCTACTGTTTCTAATCTGTAACGCAGATGATTAATTTTTACACAGACAGAACAACAACATGTTTGATCAGTAACTCAAGAAGTTCATACATCTTTATGAAAATCCATTATTTAGCAAAGAGTGAAATGACTGAGCCTGGTAAGTCAGATATTTGATCATCCCTGATTCTCCCACACCAACTTCCTCAAATGATCAGCTGGTGCTGCTGAGCTGCAGAGTTTCACGCTTCTCACACACACACACACACACACACACACACACACACACACACACACACACACACACACACACACACACACACACACACACACACACACACAACTTACACAGAAAGTGATGGTGAGAGGTGTGAGGTTGGGAGGAAGCAGACAGAAGGCCACATAAAGGTAGTTGATGAAGCCATCTTCCATCTTACAGTCTGGGGTTCTCTTCACAAATGCACAGCGGTCTACAGCACTGAGGTTCATCACAACATCACACTGAACACACACACAAACAAAGACATTAGTTCCCCTACCTAATACAGGCAGATTGAAATTAGAAACATTTTTTAACAGAATTTGAACATCTCTTTCTCTCATCATTATAGTGATTATAGAAAGCCAGAAAAACATCCCAGTGTGCAGTGGGGCAAAACTGTCCAGTGGATCCCTATTGACCCCATATTCACATTGTGTATGTACAATACACACTACAGAAAGCATGTGGCAGCTTTCCCAAGAAGCCAAGAAACCAACCAGTACTGAGAAGCTGGAAATTAGTTTAAAGTAATTTGATCAAACATAAAAGTGTTGGGGGACATGCTGCATATAAGCATAATATCAACAATATCAGGAGAGGTCACAAAGGATAGGACTTTACTATTTCCGTTTTAATTAGACTTCAGTGGTACATATTCTCAAACATCACAGAGTTAATCAAATTACCACAGGTCAGCTGCTACACAGTGGAACTGATGCCTCTGGGGGTCCTGAGTGTCTGGTGCCCCAGGGCAAACGTTAGCTTCAGGTTTGGTAAACTGTGTGTGTGATGGGAATTATTCATTATTTTTTGACTGAATACTGGATTTATTTCAAAAAACATCTTCGAGGCCTTCAACTGATTGAGTGTAAAGAAGGCACTAGTTAGTTTTGGCTATAACTTCAGTCATTACAAAAAATGACGGAAGGAAAAACACACATCATCATATTGTGCACCCCTTAGTATAGACTTTAGACAAACAACACTTTTACATTTCCACCTGTACCTGGAGGATCTTGATACCTTGGAGTGAGTTTGCCCTGATGTGAAAATGCACATCAGTTTAAACAAATCGGATAAACTTCATTAAAGCCCGTGGTCACTTATCATGTGACAGCTGAAAAAAATTTGCTGACAACCTGACAGCTTCAAATAAACTGCACGCGCACACACACACCTGACCATCAACTCTCACAGTTCACTTGTTTCACCTGTAGCGATTCAATCTCACTGACCTCATCGTCGTTGCTGTTTTGAAACATCATAGCCAGTGTGTGGTGAGATGAGGGCTGCCCGGCTAATCCCATACCAGACTGGTTGCTGCGGACATGAGAGCCTGAGGTCGCCTGCTGTTGACACGACAACACCAGCAAAAGTGACAGGAAAACAGCAGAAGACATGATTCACTTTATCCTGGAGCCGTGTCCATTCTGGTGACAGAACCGTGGTGGGCTGTTTTAGTCCTGCAATCCGGAACTCAGATTAAATTACACCAAAATACTCTCAAAATACACGTCTTCTTTGCTGTTGCAGTTGTAGCTTCACTTTAACACGGACGATTTGTTTGTTGGAGGCTCTTTACTTGACTGCCCTGTTTCAATGTCCGCGTACATTCTGTACACCTTCGCCTGAAACCCCACCCACTGTTTTTCCAACCAAGCGTGTGCCGCGTTCACGGACTCGTCGTAAACTCGAGACTGAACAGGTCCTCAACTATGTATCATATTGTCAGAACTATAGAACTAACTAACTAAGTAACTGTAGAAGAGTGGAAAAAATATATTTCACGGGTTGTATTTTAATTATTTTATGACACTTGGTACCATTGACAGCACCCTTTGCCTTTTTTCCCATTCAGATGCACACAATCGAGACACAATTATACAGTAAATATACAAGAGTATTAATCCCAGCACGATTCAAAAGAATGAGGTAGCATATTAACTGTGCTAAACTGCAAAGAACACATATTTTGCATAGTTTTGAGCTACGTGTAATTTTTCCGACAGTTCCTGAAGGCACCATGTATCAGTCCCGCTGCATCTGCGTCAGTCAGGGCTCCTCTTGCCTCTGACCTGTGCTCTAGTTAATTTGTTGATCTGTTGATCTTTTTGTACTCTTGCCTTTTGAGTCTATTAACTATGCGAGTAATTATGACTGTGAATGTGAAAATATTTTATTTATCACGTCGCAGGCCTCCAAAATTCATGAATCCATAATTCCATATTTACTGCAGACAAAAATACAAATACTTCATATACATAAGTAATCATCAAAAACACAGAACCACATAAATGTTTCACATTAACATATTCAATGTAGTAGAAGCTTCATTTTTAGCTCCACTGATGTGCTTATTGGGAAGTGGACTCTCATTTTTCATAAATGCAGGGTCTCAGTTAACTACAAAAACCTGTGGGGTACAGTGATGAGTTCTGCCACAGAATTAAAGTGAGGCACAGAAATGGCAGACCAAGTGACACGTTCAGCCTTATGTCAGCCGGTCGTACACCAGCGCAGCATCAAGTGGTGGAGTGCTGGGATCATAGCAGCCTTTCGCCTGTTTAGTCACCACAGGACACAAATCCTGTTCACACCATCTGATGAAGGAAAATAAAAACATATAATGAATGAATGCAAAATTTGCATTCTCTTTTTAAACATGAGATAAGTGAAAATTGACTTTTTCTAATGTTTTTTTTTACCTGAGAGCTGCATAGGTGTCAGATGGAGAGGCTCCTTTCCAACAAGCATGGTCGATGAGAAGGGCACCTGTTGACATGCAGACAGTGTACACAGAGGGTCAGGTGTATGAAGTAAAATGTGATTTTGCACAGGGCTGACAAAACTGATTTCACTGATTTTTTTCCTGATTGATCGCCTTATCTTTTGGTCTATGAAATGTGAAAAAAAATGTATACTGTCTATGTTTTCAAATATCAGTCTACAACAAAAAGATATTTAGTTCACTTTGATATATGACAAAGGAAAACATTAAATCTCCACGTTTGAGAAGGTGACACCAAAGAGTGTAATTTTTGCTAAAATTGTTGCTGATAATTTTTTGATCAACTAATTGATTAATCGACTGATTGTTGCAGGTCTAATATTATGTGTTTGTTTGTTCAGTACATACCAGTGTAGATGCGAGCCAGGCTGTAAGCTAGGTCTCTGGCTGCCAGCTCCAGGTAGCTGGGTGCTCTGGTGGCTGCTACATGAACAAACTTCTGCAGTTCAGAGAGAGCACCGTCGACTGTATTCACTGCTGGGGCCAAAGAGGAAACACTTGATGCACCTGCGAGCAGGGACTACAAGAAGAGGAAAAGTGCACCTCTCATTCCTGATCAGCTCTGTCATAGATTAATTACTAAACTTATCTGACCGGATCTATTCCTGACCCCGTACCTTAACATGGGTGAAGTAAGCGTGGAGAACCATTCCTGAGCTCCGAGCCACACAGCGCAGCACATCCAGAGAGAGAACATTTGTTGTACCTTCCCAAATACTCAACACCTGAGAGAAAAAAGAGACGTATAAGCTTGAAAATAACAAAGTGTGAAATACTATTGTTTTTTCTGGTATTGATCTCACCTGTGCATCACGAAGCAGTCCAGGCAACCCGGTATCCTCGATGTAGCCCTGTCCACCAAAGCTTTCCAAACCCTCCGACACTACAGCCACCGCCTGAGACGAAACAACACAGGGACCAAAATGTTGTTTTCAGCAATATCGAGCGACAGTTTACTATCACAAAATGTACTTGTATAAGCCGTGCACCTGCTTCCCAGTGTACAGTTTGACCACAGGAGTGAGCAGACGCAGGAGGTGAGTATCAAGCTGGGTCGCCATGCCGTTTTCCTCTCGGCCTAACAGACGACACACATCCATCACAAGGAGGAACGCTCCGCGAGTCTCCACCTGCCCATGACAGAAGGGTGCGTGGGTGAGGCGTGAGGGGAAACACTGTATAGAGTTTGTGTAGTTTGTTCACCCTGTCAGCTTACCTCCATCCTAGCGAGAGTCTGCATGTGCAGTGGGTGGTCTTTAAGAAGCTTTCCAAAGGCACTGCGGCGGGTGGCATAGTCACGAGCTAACTGGACCACCCTGTGAACACACACAATCACACCTATTATTATTAATCAGCTTATTTGTAGCATGTTTTTAGAAATTAGCGCAGGATGCTGTGCGGTAGTATGAGTCGCATCCTGCCTTCTCATTGCGGCTGCAGCAGAGACGCTGTTGTGGATCCTGGTTATAGTCAGCATATTAGCTATGGAGGCCACACCTCTCCCTTCCTCTGAGAGCTGTTCATGTAGAGAGGGAATAAAGATGTCAAGGATTTAGACATATTCATGTAATCACAAATGAACAAATCAACTGCCTGTCGTTTCAACAGAACGATTAAATCACAAAGGCATTTCAGCATGTGTCTTGTTTCCTTAATAGGTAGCATTGTATTTCCAAATAGAAATGGTTCTCGTAATGGAGTATGAGGTAAGAGAAGCTGGTCATAGTGATTATCATAGACATTTCCTGTTTGTATAAAAAGGTAAAGTAAGATGATGTTTCATATACTAACTGCTAACACAGTATACTATGACAAGTATGCAATATATACTGTAAGGTATTAGCATGTAGTATTTAAGTATTTATTGTTACACTATAAATTAATACTAAAAATGTAATTGTCATAGTTTTCATATAAGAATACATTAGAAGAAAATTGTCGCACATTTTGAGGCATTCATTGTAAGAGTTCCATGAAGCACTTTTGATATCAACACTAATCAATGACTACTGCAATACTATGCATCTCGGCTGCTATCAGTTCATTGTTTTCTGGTCAATTTGACTCCCTCCATCTAAAGTCATTGGTTGGTTTTGGTATACTTCCAGGCCTTTTAACAGGAAATAGCTCTTCGTTATAAAAGATTAGCAAACAAGATCACAATGAATTTTCCACTTGGCAGAATAACACCAGAAAGGTTAATCTTATTCCCACTGCACAAATCTTTAGTATTAACAAAGTGAGCTGTACCCGACCCTGTTTAGCTTTGCTGTAACACAGGCATTCATTAGATCTGCATAAAAAAGAGAAGGGATCCGCTGTTAATAATTTCTGTTATAAATGAGTGATGTGTAACTGACCCTGTGTGCTGGCAGACCATCCAGCAGTAGCTCAGCAGTTGGCATCTGTCGTGTGCCCAGTTTGTCCTTCAGTCTTTGAACCTCTATACCCCTCAGTCGGCCGCCCTCATCTCGACTCACCTCTGCATAGAACAGAGACAAACCCCTGCTACCCTGTGGGACAGAGACAGGCATACACACAGAGCGATGGAAGCACTTTATAAGTGATTCACAGACAAACTGATGATAAAGGAGTGCAGGTGTGAGGAGTGAGTTGTACCGTTGTGGTGGCACCCGTTGTGTCCTGCACTCTGGCCAGTGTGAGAGTCATGTCAGCGTCTGTAGCAGAGGTGAACCACTTGAAGCCGTGAAGTTTATATGAACCATCTGACTGGGGAACAGCTACTGTCTCTGTGCCGCTGCCTGATGACATGCAAGACATTGAGAAGAAACTCATGACGCATTACAAGTTACAGTTACCCTTGTTCTGCATAACAAAGCCAAAAAGCGAAAAAAGTTCTTCCACAGATAACAAAAATGAAGTATCAACGGGAAAATAACATGGAAAGTAGCCACTGCTGTAAGTAGCTTCTAATCTATAGGATGACGTTGATGCTGGTTCAACTGTGAGTGTCAGTACTGACCCACATCAGATCCTCCCTGTCTTTCTGTCATCCACTGTCCAGATGTCCAGAAACGTTCAGGCTGACGCGTGGTCAAACGACTGTAGGCTTCATCTACTGGCCACGAAGCACCTATGGACTTCACATACACAGCCAGACAATCACTCACTATATTCACGAGCTCAAAAACAACAGGTTGATGGGAGAAATCAGGTTGAAATAAGAACACGTTTACATGTACTGCTGTAAGTTTCGTTTTGTCTAATCAGTCTAATTCTGAATTTTGGGATACAGCAACTAAGAAGGATCTTTCCCATCACCCAGCTCTGTCGTTACTTAAGTACATGTAATGGTGGTACTGGTTAAAGACACCCAGCACATGTTGTTAGTCAGAAGCTTCGTTTTTCTGACACACCTGGATGACTTTAGCAGCTCCATCAGTCATGGCCAGAGGACAGGTGTAGAGACCAGAGGAGGGAGAGAAGATGTACAGCTTGCTCATTTGGTACACACGACTGGAACAACAACAACACACACACACACACACACACTTTCTTAGTTTCTCATTTGGAAACACTGTTAGCTGAACTGAAGCACAAAAGTCTCCTAACCTCCACTCCCCAAATGACCTCTCATAACCAATGGCAACCAGTCCCTCTTGCGCTGACAGGTCTTTCATGCGTTTCCAGGCTGGGGAGGTCACTATGTGGTCCACTCTGCAACCCCAGGGGTCAAAATGTACCAGCCGTGGTGGGGTAACCTCACACTCTCTGCCCCACTTGTCTACCTCATTCACCACGCGCTCTCCAAATCCACACAAGTCTGAGAGAGCTGCCTGTGAAGTACATACATATACATTTACATAGATTATTTGCCTGACAAGATAGATCGTGCCTGACTGTTTACCCAAATTTAAATGCTTTTTGTTGGGAATACGATTGATGAACTCTGGAACAAAACCAGATGAAGACACAGCTGTGCTCACCTCCTGGGGTAGGTGTCTCCCCAGGTATCCTCTGAGCAAGGTGTCCTCCAGAAAAGGATTCCTCAGCACAGACCTTTCCTGAAAGAAAGAACCTATCCTGGCTCTGGAAAATGGCATGTGGCTCGCTGCTTCCCAGAGGTGTTCTTCATCAGATCTTCTTGTGCCTGGCTCAGCTACACTGGCTGATCTGATGTGCACGAGTGGTCGAGGAACACCACACCACACCCTGCAGCAGCCTCCAGCTACACGGCGGTTCAGGAGGACTGTGCGCACAGACATGGCTCAAGACCTGCAGTCTGAGGTGAGAATATCAGCACAGTGTTATGAGATGCAGCATTCATCTGATGGCACAGGGAAAAGGATTGGTTTCATTCAATCAGTCATTTACAGGAATCCAAAATATAGTATTGTGTGTCTTGGTTAAACCATAAACTTTTTTATAGGTTAATGACATATTTTTCAATAGAATTATTCAGCATGAGCTTATGTTTCTTGCTGTGTTTTCCCATTGCTCATGTTTTTGGATGGCAGTAGCTCTGAGACTCACATCATACTCCAATACACTGAAGCCATCAATGTTAAGACTAGATAATTGGGGATAATTCAATACTTCACGTATCTTGTTTTATTTTTTTCTACCAAAAAGTCAGTAATGTTGCAACAGCACATACATGAAAGGGCAATCAGGCAGATCACAATCAAAAATGTGCCTACTATTTACATTTTTAAAGGCTAATCACAATTATCACACCCCTAGAATTCAAGCAGTATTCACTAACACTGCTTTTTTAACAGAATTGTACATACATATACATACATACACGTATTTATATTACGCATGATTGTATTTGAATCCATAGTATATCTTTATTCATAACAGAAGTGCTAAAATTTCCTACACAATATATTATTTAAATATGCAGTTAGTTCGCTAATTTCAATTGATCAAGAACATTGTATGTTCTTGTTAAATTAGTTCAATATAGCAGCAAACTAGTTCTGTCCACAACTTGACAGGAATAACAAACCAAATAATGGGTTTCAGTGATATCCACCAGAAAGTACTGAATGAGAGAATATTGTGTCTAGTTAATTAAGAATATATGTGAAAATAAACCTTAAACTCAAAGTAACTTGGTTAGGGAACAACCAGACTGGAGTTCACAAAACTGGGTTAAAGTTCATTCGATTCCGCTGCTCTTTTTTTTTTTTTTTTTTTGCAGATATTAGTTAACATTTGAATCAGTAACCTTATTTTATGTAATTTAATTATAGTCTAATGGTTAACACAGGTAACAAGATACCAGCCCCACTGTTAGCCTGGCCCTACTCCATTCGACTGTGTACAATCTTCACTCTGCAATAACCATAACAGCTAAACAAGCTATCAAGCTAACAAGCTAACAGTTTACTAACCTTTTCTGTATTCGTTTTCAGTGACTTTGTACTAGTTCACACCAATAACTCAATTTATAAAACTGACTTATCTGCAAGTACAACTTAAGTCTTTGCATATGTAAATAAATACTAACATTCTTACCTAACACCAGCAGTGTTTACATCCGCAGGGGTTGTAGCCAAATCAGCGGTCTCTTCCACCGACCATGGTCGCTCAAACACACCACGGGTTACTACCACTAGGGGGCGCTGAAGATAGCGGTCCGGACCAGTTAGTGAGTGGTCTGTGGAATGGTTTTTGTGGTCCACCTTCTCCCTACTCTGGACGTGTTGGCATCAGGTTGGCAACGCTGTTGGCCAAATAAAAATGTCAGAGATTATAATGCATTGTCTATTAAATTATTATCGATTAGATAATGTAATAGAGATATTCTCATTGTTGCACTGTATATTGCAGTTTTATCAACCGTCTAGAAATATGAACCAGTAGGTACTTACCACTGCGGTCAAGCCGGCCATCATTCGCATATATATATATATATATATAAAGACTGAAATAAAAACTCTGTCACGTATATGGGACAGATGTTATAGAAATACTTTCAGATTAATTATTATAAAAAAAAGTATTAAAAAAAATGTGTCTCACTGAAGTGGTATGCAGGTAATTTAGCTTTTATTTGCATACATTTATGTGATTTATGCCTCAAATCCAATACAGTTAAGGTGAAGGGAATTGCAGTTATGGTGCTCACAACACCTGAAACTCGCGATTATGCGTTGTCATAAAAGACACATTGTTGAGTTAAACAACTTAAATTTCCATTTACCTTTATTTCAGTGGGACAGTGACAGAAACCTTAAAAGAAAGTTTTTGAGACTAACACTTAATCACTTCATTTTTAACATTCATGTTAATGTTAATTTCCCACAACCAACATTCTGTTATTTAGCAAATAGACATAAACATAACAGACATACATGCATCATAGGTGTTGCTGAGCCTGTTTTATTGTTTTAAGTAAAGATTTGTCAAAAATACAGAATCCTTTGTTCCAACCAGAACAAAAAGACTGAAAGCATGCACTGTTTAATAAAACATTTCCATGACATGTTAAAAATCTGTTCAAAAGGAAGAACACAGGCACTGAATAATTATGAACACACAACCTTTGCATTAAAGTGAGATTTTTTTTTCTTCCAAAAATAAACACAGAACAGTCATAGATCAAATGCAGGAGGGATTTAAGGGAATACTCATACTGATAAAACCCAGTAAGTAGTTATTGTTTGTGGGTGTGGTACATCACCCAACCTTAAAAGATTTACCTGGTTTGCTTGATAGGCAGACCAGGATGGAGGAAGGTAATGGGCAACACTGATGTGTCGTTAGTGTACAAAATTAAAAGTTAATGTTTAAGTAAAGGTTACAGTGCAGAGCACAGCCCAGTCAAGCCCAAGTCTTGATTCACTTCCAATTCTCACCCAACGATGGATCAAAACAAATATAGTCTGGAACAAATGTAGTCTGCAGTTTGTCACAGAATTAGTTGACTATATAAATGGAGCTTAAATTCTATTAAACCTACACAAATCATTTCAAAGGTCAATCAGGACAGGATGGCTTAAACATAGCTTAACATACAGTATATAAGGAATAATATAAAAAAGACTAAAAAGAAAACCACAGGCCAGAGGGCTATCAGACAATGTAGAAACACCAAAGAACCTGCCCAAACTCAAAGATTATGTTGGTGCTGCCTAACCGCTGGAACGATCAAAATCAAAGATCAAACTTATGACAATCTGATTTAACATATGGAAGGATCAACAATGAAAATATTCCTAAATATTCACAGCCAACACTGCACATAAGCATTAGTCCTCAGAGGGCCGTCAGCAAGTAATGGCTGGAATGAAAACTGCCAGTCTGTTTATGTGCATGTCTTCTCTTTTATATTTTTCTTTTCTGTCTTCTTTAATCACCCTTGGTAAGGAGGTCCTCTATGTAGGCGTCAAGCTCGTCATCTGTGTTTATGTCAATGTCCTAAGAGTGTGATTAAAAAAATTTAAAAAAAAGTTATTTTGAAGAAAAGATTTTCCTTGAGCCACCAATAATGTGCAGTACAGATAACGCAGTAAGCAATCTTACCTCTTGTACTTTCTGCAGAAGTGCTACAATGTTTGTTCGTAGTTTCTGGAGTTTCTCGTCTGCCTCCTTCAGTTTTACCTCAGTGCTGTTGTTCTTCTCTTCCACAGCTTTGGCCCTGGCATCAGCTCTGCTCTGGTATGAGTTACACAATGACTGGAGACCAGATTCATATTGCTGGAAATATTCTTTCTACATGGAGGGGAAAAACACATTAATATACTACCAATCTGTACTCAAAGAAACACAAGAGTATAAATATATAAACATATTCTCAATTCTCAAGTATTATTTCAAAAACTACATATTCATTTTAAGGTCAATTTTAAGCTAAAAATCTATTTATCAACTCATCTACCATCTATCTCACCAAGGGAAAGGCCACTAACTCCTCAGCCGTCATGCTGTTAACATCATCCTTTGGAATCCGAAAAGCAGGAGGGAAGAAGTAACGCAGCATTGTCCTGGAAACATAAACAGCACAGTGAACACACCACGGTGCTATGCCACTTTAATGAAGAGTGATTCATGGGTCCTGGCTATCAGGGTTTACAAAGTGTGTGGTAACAGCACCAGGTCATTGTATCCAGCTCACCTCAACATGGTGACCAGGCTGTCTGTCACCTCTCGACTGGTTCCTGGCTGAGTAGTGTCCGGCTCCATGGGTGCCAGCCCCCTCTCTGTCTCCTGTTGGGTGTCAGGTGTCTGAGAGATTGGAGATGGTGGCCGCATCAACCGAACTTCATCACTACCCTTGAACACCCTTTTCAGACACACACACATATATGTATAAGATGTTAATTATCTGGCTTGTCAACAAAACGATGATTGCAGCAACACAGACACAGTATCTTACCATCGGTCTTTAGGGGTGGATCGAGGTACATAGTCAAACTTCACTTTCCAGCGAACACTCTGTTTATTTGCCTCCACAGCAATGACTTTGCCTGTGTACCACTCCTTATTGACACGAACTTCAACTAGAAGACCCTTATCTGTAAAAAAGGGTAACAATTCCTCCTATTAGAGCTTTCTTTTTCCAGTTATGTGTGATACATGTGAGTGTAGAGCAGTCCATCCTCTCACCTTTCTGAGCATTTTTAGTGTCATTCTCTGGTTCCTGCTGTGGAGCCTTCTCAGGTGTCTGCAAACAAAACAGCCATAATCACCACACTAGCCACAGAAATATCATTTGATGAAAAGTTTGAGTGAGGTTAAAAGATCTCTGTTAATCAAAGAAGTGAAAGCCCCAGTGTGACCTTAATCAGTGGTTGAGAATTGCATGCTTGATTTCAGAGAGCTGTTAGAGACAAACTTTTGTTTAAAGAGAGGATTGTTAGATGGGAAAATTATTATCCGACAGAAAACCCAGATCAGCTTAAATATTATATATTATAAGTTGTGAGAGCGGATGCAGCCTTGCTTTATTTGGGCGTAGTAGAGAAGAGGGATTGACTGAAGCTACCTTGGCTTTAGCCCCATGCTGTTGTGTAGTAATGGATTTAGGGACAGAGGCTGGTGTCTGCCGTGTAGGAGTAGACACCCCTTTCTTCTCAGCCTGGGAGTGTGTTTTAACCTGCAAGGTCAACAGCAGATGGGCTCTGATTGAAGGTTTAGTAACTGATGTAGCTACCCAGGAAAGCCTGTACTGTCACCATCTTGCCAGCCATCCAAATACTGTCGGAAGATAATTAAGCAGTGCTCAATGCAGTTGGGTTCCAAGCCCCCTGATAAGATTTGCCCATGGAAACACAGGCGTGTCCAATCAGAAAAAGTCTTAGTGCCACAAATGCCACGATCACCTGAGGCTTTGTTGCTGTGCTAATGTTTTTAAGGATGAATACAGCTCAATTTCTGCTCTGATAAGCAACATGGTAGATAAATATAGAATATAGATATTTAGAAATAAAAACCAAATAAATAAACTTTAAAGATAAAGGGTAAATACAGCCTATTTATGCACACGAGGAGCGGCATGTATTTTATTATCGCATTTTAGTTGTTCATGTTCAGATACCATAAAGAAAAGGGTGGAATCTGAGTAACCTTTATAAGCCAATAGGTTTAATGGATGCACACATACCGATGCTGCAAGCAGCCTCAGTTTCGTTCACATCTGTCTCCTCTCATTCATTTATTCACTTCATGGAATTATCATATCTCACATGACACAAGTGGTAATGAGGGAGGCATGACAACTAGTAGACAAAGAAGAGACTGCAGCACATACATTCACAGCAGAGTCCTTACAGCAAGTTGCACAATGCACCACAAATCAAGACTGACACACTCAGGCCAATTCACACAAATGAAGCGAATGGTTTATGCAAAGTTGGTAATATTCTCATTTTATACACCAAGTTCATTGTCTTCTGTTGAGTGTTGTGTTAAACATTTGCTTTTGCTGCTGGTGTATTTTCAGTAAGATTAGAAATTTGACTGTGTTTCTGACCTGAGCCAAGAACAATCTACTCACGCGTGAACTCTAGTGTACATTTACCTCGTCCAACTTGCCACGTTTGGGAGGTGGGGCCTTCTCTACCACTTTCCCAGAGTTACCAGCGGCTGAAGCCATCTTGGATTTCTTTGTCTGTGGTTCTTCCTCTTCACTCTCTTCCTCTTCCTCCTCCTCCTCCTCCTCTTCCTCCTCCTCCTCCTCCTCTTCCTCACTGTCCTCCTGCTCTATAATTCTCTTGCGTTGTCCAGCAGATGATGCTTTGGCATTTATCTATAAAGGGTTACAGATATCACATAGTTTTTGGTGTTAACTGTTAGATAAGTTCATAACTTTCTCCAACAAAACCTGGCATTGGTACTGTGGAATTAGTTGAGTACTTCCTAAAGCCTGTAACTTACCCGTGAGCTGCGGCTGGGTGGAGGTGTTTTGGCAGTAGTTTTGGGTGAGGGTTTTGCTGGAGGTGGAGGAGGCTTTGCTGCAGCTCTAGACCTGGATGGTTCAACTTTGGATGGTGGTGGAGGAGCAGCAGGTGTACGGGAGGCCCGCTGAGAAGCGGCACGAGATGGAGGGGTACTTGGGGCATTTTTGAGGTGAGCTGGGAGTGGTGGAGAGCGGGGCCT